CGAACGTGAAGAATGAATTGTCGACGGAATTAACACATCCACTCAATCACTGTCTGGATCATTCACGTGCTCAATCACTCAGCTGATTTGATGCAGCCACACGAATGCATTGACTGTGTGTTCATCACTCAGTCCGTCTGACTACACAAACGACCAACTGACTCGTACGACTACTCACCCTCTCATTCAAATCACTACACCATGGATTCTTTGACCGATTGATTGACTGATTGATTGATTGACTGATTGATCGATTGATCGATTGACCACCTGGTTCATCGGACGAGTACGTGAGTGAGAGTGGTGTGTGGTTGGATTATGGTGATTAAGGATCACATGCATGTATTGTGTCGAGAATGGTTGAGTAAGGTAGTGATTGATGGTTAGTATAAATACTGGTGGATGTGGTCGGTGTCTGTGTGAGTCGATCCGAGTGTTTGACAGCGGTGAATTTGCAGTGACTCGAAGTGAGCAGTGATGCGGCAGTGTGTGGTCTTGTGTTTGTTCGCCCTTCTCAGCATCTACGGTGTTCACGGTGAGTGACGACATAGAATGCAGTGAATGACTGGATTGATTAGAGCATTTGTGATTCTAATATTGTGTGTGGGTGTGTGTGCGTGTGTATTGCTGTCGACAATTGTAGTGGTATTTGAAGTGGTGGTGATGTAGTCCTTGAAGATCGAGTGTTATTGTTGAAAGAGTAATATTATTTGCATTGATGATGTTGATGATGTTGGTGTTAGTGGTGGGAGAAGCAGAGATAGTGGAGTGATTGTTTGTGGTGTTTGTATTGTTGTTTGTAGTTGGAGTGTCAGTATTGGTGATGATATTGGTGGTTGGGTTTCGAGAATTTGTGATAGAAGTGGTACAATCGACAGTGTTGATTGATGATTTTGTTGTTGTGGTGAATGTGTTGGTGGTAGAAACGACGGTTGGATTGAGAGTAGAAATGGTGTACCCGGTGGTGTTTGCTGTGTGATTGATTGTTTGTGGTAGGCATAGAAGTGTGAGCGATAGCGTTTGTGATCGTTATCGTGATTGTGATTTTGATTTTGATTTTGATAAATATTGTTGAGTGAATAATAATGTAGAAGTGTTGTTGCTGTTGTTTTTGTTGCGATGTTTCAGCGGAGATTTCAGCTGAGAACAGAATGTGTTTTGGAGTGGGAGAGTATTGTGATGGTGCCGGACATAGGAAGTGTTGTCCACCACACAGCTGCAAGCTGATCAATCCACGAGAAGGAGTGTGTGTCAGAGGACGGTGTTTGCAGTCGAAAGAACAATGTGTACGAGGTGAGGATTGCTGCAGTGGACACTGTTTGCTTGGACACTGTAGAGACAAGTAACTAGATGTCTACTGCTACACCTCATGTCAAGTTTCTGCTTTACTGGACAGACGGCCAGTCAACAAGCTACACAGTCCACTAAATACACAATCCGTTTACCATCTTGCTCTTCACACATAGACCTTCCAACCACTCACATGTTCAATCATAACTTCCTTCTCTCATTATAATAAATGTGCTTATTCAAACCAAATCTCTGACTTCTCCTCAATTTCCACACACTGGTCAGTTGTGTGCGTGTACACGTGAATGGAACACTGACTGTTGATGCTCCAGTCGAAGTGAGTAGTGTTGAATCGATGTGCTGCTCATTTGAATTTTGATACTGTACGTGTACTAAGAGTTATTTTTGTGAATGTGTGAAGGTGTACATTGGAATTTGTGTGACTGTTCGTGCTTGTTGATGTTTCAGTAGTCTCATTTGACATATGATTAATTGTGTATTTAATATGGGACTTTTAAACATTCATATGGATTTATTGCAGTAATTTTGATGTAGGTTGTAGATCACCAACGTATATGATCTATGTCGAAATGATTGGAGGCCTACTCGAGTTAGACGTGAATGGTGTGACGAACCAACTAACGTCGAAGTCACACCTCGTGGTCAGCACCTTACGTGGACTACCCCCATTGACGTAACAAGGTACTATAGATGCTTTGAAGACTGTACAACACAAAGGACGTTATTACAGAAATATATTAGTTAAGGTAGATACAGGCGAAAGTAAGACCACTGCCGCATGGGCCAGTCCATGGCGTATGATTAACTAATGCGCGTTGCTTGTACATGACCTTGGCAGGGAGCGATGATCTGTTCGACATTCAGTGATCCAACTGCCGGATGATTTGGCTAGGGCTCAGTGACATTTCACTGGCCCTACAATACTCCCCCACCAGATTCAGCGGCCGTTTGAATCGGTACCAAACATGTTGGGAGCAGTCGCGCGCCGGAGAGTGCCAAACGAATATTATAAATTCTCCAGGTATTGCTTATCTGTAAAACAAATGGAAAGGAGGCGGCAGAAACTGGTCGGGAAACAGCGAGTCATAATATGTTAGTAGGACGTTGGTTAAACGTAAAGCGATTAACCATAGAAATAATGAAAAGAACAAAACGTTTTATTGTTCTATCAAGTCGCGCTGAAATATATAGCCTTGACAAGTAATTCAGTTCCTCCGATGACAAACGTTAAGTCTGTCGCAAGAGTAATGATGCTATAGCGATAGTAGGAAAAGTATTATTAATCGATGTCCTTGTTTGTACTGTCATTAGTTTAAAGTTGTAAGTCGGACAGTGTCGTTGACAGCTATTAATTAGTGTCAAATTCTAGTTATATCTATATCTAACAGACTAACCGTAAGTACAGAAGTATAACAGTGAAGAGTGGTCGTGATTTCGTTGTGCGAAGCTATTGACTAACTTGTAGTCACAGTTTGAAAAGTCGATGACTGCTGTTACAGTCAGTAAGGGTTGAAGGCTACAAATCCACAGCAAAGGTGGCACGATGAAGTCTCTAAAAGATGATAAACGGTGAATGCTGCGTGTTTGTTCGGTTAGTGAACAGAAAAATATCGAAAAGAACATAAGAAACCAAGAGTCACTCTGGACTCATGTCAATGATACCCGTGAAAAACGCTGTCAGTGTTGGGATAGAGGCGACAATATCGTTTTCAGTTTGCAGGAGATTCGCTCGACTGCATAAACTGATGATTCGAGCGAATGATATTGTCGTCAGACCACCAATTGAACTGGACAGGTTGTAAATCGTCGAGTAGTTGAACGGCCGATTGATGTACCGGAATCATCTGTTAAATAACAGCCACGAGGAAACAATACTTCATAAAATGAAGTACGACATCGAAGTAGAACAACTACAATAGTTCAGATGTGTTACAATGTCAAGTCTAAATAACATCGTTCTTACGTATACTGACAGTTGCACTGAACGTTCGTTTAGGTATGATTAGCGTAACAGTTGGATGTGTGAATAAAAACATATACGAAAACTATGGTTGGGTTCGTGGAGAATTTTTGAGGACGTTTAGATATTTTTCAAACCCGTATCGCATGTAAATAAACCGAAAATAGAATTAAAATGACTGTCGTGTAATAAGGAAATCGAGCCATGATTATTATTAGCAAATACAAGGGGTATAATAAACATTAATTAAAATGGTAACCACCAATGTAACTAAGGTTTAGAGGGTCCAGGTAACGTGGCCATTTCGTAAAAGGCTGATACAAAGAGCTTATTACCTAGCGTTAAGTGACATATTAAGTACGACGTGTGTACTTGGGACATGGACTAAGCGTGCTCGTGTACATGCAATATGTTTTACCACAGTATATCGACTAAAACTTGACGGCAGTGACAGAATATATGACTGGTTTACGTGAAAGCAACTACGAAATGTTATCACGCATCATAAATATAGTACGAAATAATCTAATGAAATTATGAAACTCGCCTGGGTTACTCTTGCCTTTAAGTAATGAAGTAGGCAGTAGTTTGAATCTGGATTATGTACGAGGTACTGTTGATTAAATTTTTCGATTAACACAGCGTTGTAGACTGAATTTGTATAAGTCCAGAATTAATGTAAGCCGAATACATAGCATTACCTGACGAACAGTCTAAACGAGATCTAAGATCGCAGGAAATTTATAGTTCAAACTCACCGTGAATTTCTAGCATTCGTATCCTCTGTTTGGCCATGGAACTCAGCAATTGGAAATTAGGCAGGCAGTGGTAAAAAAAAAGCAGAACATTCTAGTGGATAGTGGTTAAGCAGAAAGATGAATTTATAGTCGATAGTTAATCTTGTCTTATTTATACCAGTGGATAAGGTACAAAGAGATATGCGTTCGTGTTGCCTTGTGGCTATACTCACGAGTGGTTGATATTTTAACAGACATGTTACACAGGAGCATTTACATGCTGCTAATGCTTGTTAAAGAACCACGATAGCCGATTATAATCGTAGTTGATTGGTTAGTTCTGTCGATTGAACGAATTATCTAGGTTTAAATGCTAATCAACATTGACATGAAGCAACGAAAGTTCACAGTAACAGATTAACATAGGCGATGATAAAAATGAAAAAGAATAAGTATAGAATACAATAATAAAGATTATAGTGATAGGTTGCGTTATTCGAAGTCTTGCTCACCAGTGTAGATCACCAACGTAGATGATCTATGTCGAAATGATTGGAGGCCTACTCGAGTTAGACGTGAATGGTGTGACGAACCAACTAACGTCGAAGTCACACCTCGTGGTCAGCACCTTACGTGGACTACCCCCATTGACGTAACAAGGTACTATAGATGCTTTGAAGACTGTACAACACAAAGGACGTTATTACAGAAATATATTAGTTAAGGTAGATACAGGCGAAAGTAAGACCACTGCCGCATGGGCCAGTCCATGGCGTATGATTAACTAATGCGCGTTGCTTGTACATGACCTTGGCAGGGAGCGATGATCTGTTCGACATTCAGTGATCCAACTGCCGGATGATTTGGCTAGGGCTCAGTGACATTTCACTGGCCCTACAAGGTGTTTGCATCAGTAATTGATCAGTCATTTGAGGATATTTAAAATTGTTTTTCATCATATTCTATCTGAATCATTTGAAAAAAAACTTAGGATGTCGAAAAAACTAGTAAGGTCACCACAACAACAAAATCATCAACCAATACTGTCGATTCTACCACCTCTATCACAAATTCTTCAAACCAAACCACTACTATCATTATCATTACTGACACTCAAACAACAAGCAATTTCACTACAATATCTGCTTCTCCCACCACTAACACCATCATCGTCATCAACAACATCAATGCAACAACTACTACTACTCATTCAACAATAACACTCGATCATCAATGACTAAATCAACACCACCACCACTTCAAATACCTCTACGATTTTCGACAGCAATAAACACACACATGAATCGAGTCGCAAATGCTCTTATTAATCCAGGTATTCGCTTTTGTCGAGTGTGCAAAGGAAATTTAGATGCATGCAGAAAACTCCCAAATTTTTTTTATATGGATGAATAGTAATCAAACCGAATATTATCATATTCTTAATAGCGACTTGCTTCATGAAGCATTTCTCGGAACCCAAATTAAATGCTCTGATCACTCGAGTTCAACGTGTTGACTGTGAGACATTTACTGACCGAAAATAATGGAAAATAGTTGTGCAACATTGTGGATTGGTTGAAGTTGGACTGTGACAACGTTGGATACCAGCTCAGTGGTTTAGATGTTAAGCGTATGCGCTAGGCCGAAGGTTGTCGTTTCGAATCCTGGGTGCGTTGCCGTGAATAAGCACCTTTGAGGAGTTCCATACCTGGATAAAATGGCCGTTCAATGCTTCCAAGTTTTCAATGCTAGTCTAAATGTGATCGGTTCATGATTTCAATGAAAAATCAAATAACTGAATTTCATATCTTCAGTGTCAAAATGGCTAATATACATTGTTAACACGAGTAAGTTAATATATCATATGAAACTGTGAGATTATTATTCAGAATATAAATATCATAGAGTGAGAGGAGCTATGTAATTATAGAACAGATCTACTGATTGGTCGAAAATCACGTCATGTTCAAGTGATATGAATTCGGTAAGAAATGTTTAGGTAGAATGAGTACTAGTTGAATTATTCATATGTACACAAGATTAGGAATTGTAGTTATTACCATAATAACGATGAGAATAATAAAAATGTATGTGACTGATATTAATAAAGTCATTTGAAATAGATAAATTCATTATAAAAAAAACAAATCGTTGCACGTACAATATTCACTTCAGTTTACCATATGATTAAGACGACTATTGATGCATTATGCCGGAAGATGGCCAATATCTAATATTCGAAGACTAAATTAATGGTAACTTCCAGAAATTCTTTATGGACTATATGTATCCTTCCTATCATAAGCTTTCATTTGACGCTTCAACTACTATTATATGATATTCTATCCTTAATTTATTCCCAATCTATTAGTTAGTCTCTCATACTCACAGACACTTTTGACTTAATCTTGTATGATTTTCATAATGTGATATGGACTGATCTGCTTGTATACAAACCACGTATGTCTCAAATATAATATCCATACAGGGCAGGCTGGCTATTGTGTTCTAGAATCAATAGGCAGGGGAAGACGATAAGCCACTGTTTCGGGAAACAATAAGAATCTAGAGTTGACTCAAGGCTATTAGTGCTGGTTGTGGGGTCATTGGTTAGCACAAGGGCAAAGTCATGAAAAATTGATATTCTGACCGGTGGTTTTATCACGTGATATTGAACAAGGCCGTAAGTCATGAAAAAAAAATTTAAATACAACTTAGCTTACTCTTTGGAGTTTTATTTTGGACATTTATATAACTGTAGAATCCGATGAAAATTCCTTGCGAAGAATTAATCATCTAAATGTTTTGTTTATGATAGGTTACCTATACGAATATTCTTGAAGACAACACTCAGAAGACCGAAAAACAAGGAATTAATGTCATAATTATCATCGTGCTAGTTGGGAAAAGTGTCACGTAATAAAGTCATGATTCTTTGGAGAGATAACTGTTATATCTTGTGAATCTGTGTGCCCTGTATATTGGATAACGCAACGATACCGCCAATCAGAGAGCAGAGAATTATCGATCGAATCAGTGACGTATAAAACACGTGCGAGCAACCTACGGTCCTGATTGGTTCTGCTTTCCGCCTAGCCCACCCAGTTGTAGTCCAGAACACCAATCTCAGCCTCTGCAATATGAATCATTATATTTCAAATATACTCTGTTTATATACCCATCAAGCAGACCACAACGTACCATAAAATAGAAAATAACATTTGTACAATATTTGGCCAACAGGAAAATGATACCATTTTAAGTTCAAGGATAGCATTAGACTAAACAGGATAATTTTTAGGATATTTTCCGGAATATCCCAACAATAAATTTGTTTTAAATCTTTATATAACAACGATTTTAGCAAAGCGTAATAAATTCGAAGTCCTTTAATAAATGATTATCTTGAAAGATTTTGAGAAATCAACGTCATTTTGACTATCAGGAAAATGACGAGCAAAAAACATACCGTCTTCAAAATCTTGGCTTTTATAAGATAAGCTCAGTGATGTGGATGCTAGCATTTCTTTCTGTTATCCTAATCTATGTGCTTGATACGTGCATATAAACTGGGAAGCACAAATGAAAGTAATATAAGGCGGGAATATTTACACACTATGATCACCGAGTAATTTGTTTGGTACAGAGATCATTAAAAACTAAAAACACGAAGTTCAGTGAATGGATCTCTTTTCAACGAATTTATTATCAACCTTAGAAGCTTGAAAAATCTTTTGATGATGGTCTTTAATATAGAATCAGTCGTCCCAGTGATTTGATCATCCTTAAAGCAAAGTTGCACGAAGACAGGTTGATTCTCATTTGAAGCACAATCGCTGAAGTAATGCAAGTGTAGGTAGCTCTTTATTTTCGATGGAAAAAATTTGTCAGTCGGCTACTTGTATTACGTTTAACACTAAGATGTAGAAAGTGAGAAATGGTATCATTTTCAGTCATGACTTTAACATTAAAGCGTTCTTTATTCAGATCTGACATATTAGTAGCTTGTTTACAATCATTACATACAACAAATGAGTCACCATCCCTGAAGTAAAACGTCCTATCATTTATTTCACTGCTCTTTGTCGTCAGTTTGTTAAAAATACAACTACAAGCACTGATTCAAGGGGACTTATAACAGCCACTCCATAAACTGAACGATTCAAGACACTTGAATCGAAGTTGAAAATCTTTGACGCACATTAGTAGAGACTCGTTAAGTTCGTCCTTAGATAAAGTACTTTAATGTTTTGGTACAGAGTTTGTATGACATCTTCCAGCGGATTGTAGTAAATAATAATTATGTATCGAATGGAAGCATGAATATACCAAAGATCCAGCACTTTGAATTGAATGCAGGTTGATTAGGGTCTCTCAAACTGTGTACGAACACCCTCAAGTGGTCCGGTTCTAACACTTTGTGAAGTGTATAATTTAATCCGATAAGAACATCCTAACACCTAAATCTAACCTCGATATGGATTCTGGAGCTTTCAGCTCATTATATTCGAAATCGTAAATTAATTTCTCTTACGAAAGTTCTCACAAACACTACGTAACAGATCTCTTCGGTGATCCAGTCATTTCATCTTCTGGACTTTAATAGATCATTTAGAATATTCTTAACCTTAATAACACACTGCTCTTTCGCCATGATAACTACATCACAGCCATTTTTATCATTGGTATTGTTTGTTTGAATCTTCCTATTGATGTTTAGGACTGCAATTGATCAATACGTTATTGGCATATGTGCATACTGTGCGGACTGCCTCGATATAGCCTTAATTCACAAGCATTATATGTAGAGATGGATAGTGGCTAGCAGTGGAATCCAGTTTGACGCTCGTTTCATCCTTTTTGGAACTCGTCAGTTGGCTGTATCGAGGTAATACGCACAGCATGCACATATGCCAATAACAGACTGATCAAATACAGTCATAAACATCAATGGGAGATTCAAACAAACAATACAAAATCAAGTTAAACTTCACCTCATCGCACAAGCAAGTGGCTATCAGGACTCAGTAGCTAAGTGGATAACGCGATGGTGTTTCAAGCGAACGATACTGAGTTCGAGTCCCAGAGTGAACATAAACACTGAGATGCAGGTACATCCACCTGACGAGTCCCAAATAGGACAAAACGAGCGTCAAACTCGATTACACTGCTAGCCACTATCCATCCTTGTATACAATTTATCATTATTTATATTCAAGTTATCATCTTTAATAAGACATTGTAATTATTGTTTTATCTTTAACCCTCAACAAATGAACACTACTACACTAGTTAAAGTATAATCTAGAACAATGAAATCTCAGTTCAGTATGTATCAACAATTCTCTTTATATAATTAATCGAAATCAGCATAGATGTACAAAGGATAGGATTGTAATTCATGTTGTTAACAATCTGAAATACAAAGAAAATTAACAATTAAATCTTTTCTAAACAGATCACATTGAAATATTTATTTTTATTTATTTTAACACATAGACATTGGTACAAGGAGGCACCAAATACATATGCGCCACACAAATCTCATTTGATATTTGTGAGGGCTGTGATAATTCTCAGGTACCCAAACCGAAGCAAGTGGTTTTCTTAGGGGGCCACACCCGGAGCCTTCGACCTAAAGATCTGATCCACAAGGTAGTGGAGCATCGTAAGGAGATGCAGTCGCATGGTAGCCGGTGACCAACGATTGGTTGATACGCCATTTGTTCCTTTAGGATACTGGAGCCCATGTGCACTATTGGTTTGGAATCAGGGTTTCCCAACTCCCCTAGGTCGACTCTCCATGTCCACCAACCCAGTTAAAGCGCCGGACATTCGCTAAAATTACAAGAAATTTATGCATAAACCTATGCTCAATCGATACTTCGGAAGTCTATAAGTGGCGTTTTTTAGACTGTTTACATCTTGAGATTAACCGGAAAACAAGAACGCTCGTCATTTAAGAATCATTAGTGGAGCTTCGTTTCAAAGTTCTTATATCTACAGAAATTGAAAGTCCAATTGCACAGCTATCAGAAATAATAAAACCCGTGTAAAGACATTACAACAAGCAATAATTTGGTTGTTCACTCAATCGAACTAGGAAAAAATATCATCTAGATTTCTGATTGACCGAACAGCAACTCAAGCTTTTTAGAAACAAATATCGAAATCTCCTGAAAATAATAGATACCCCAATGATCAGACATTTATAGTTAACACTAAAAATCAGCCTCTTCTAAGTAGATGCACATTTAATACAACAGTGAAAAACAATTGAAATGGCATTCCATATTCATACTGGTTAAATTTCTGAAGGAATATGTTGAAAATGAGTGAGAAACATTAACATTGTGATGTGTGCTACTGATGTTGATAGTTATAAGTAGTATATATCATCAATCGAAAGTGGGATTCCCGATGGTAGAAGGTTGAGAAAATCGAAGAGAAGAGAACAAGAACAGAGAGTGGGTGGTATGGAAACGAAGCAACAACAAAGTCTGAGACATTTGATAGATATTTTGTAAATGAAGTATTTACTGTATGGTTCTCAGACTTTACCAAGATATTTTGTAATGTTGTATTCAAATACATTTGGTTGTCCTCACTGGTGTTTTCGTTCACTACAACATAATCGATCACAAAGAACGTGTAGATTATTAACAGTAAGGTCAACGAACTGTTATGATTGACAGATGTAAGAAGATACAACAATAAAGTGACAAACGAGATTCGTTGTATCAATGAAGAAGAAGGAGAAAGAAGAAGACAATTGAGCAAGGGAAATTTTCTTTTCAACGATTTCATTCACTTAAGTTATACAATAGTATTTACAGTTAATATTATTCACTGAAATCGTAGACCACAGTAAAGTAGAACAGTGTTGAGTATTGAAAACAGTGGAGTGATATCTTGTCATGAACTGTTTACAAAAACGAGATGTATTTAAAGTAATGTGATAAATGGTTAATGAATAGTGGTAACGTGAAAATAAGTGTCCATTTAATGACTATTAAAAAGAGAATGATTGAAAGTTGCAATAATGGCTAATTAATCGTTGTGCGTAGAAGCAATTTTTTTCTGGAAAAAATATAGATTATAGAAGATAAAAGGGAAAGTTAAGACCATGGTAGAATAAGGGACTGAACATACTGCTTTGTACGCGAAGGTCTGGATTGGACTAGTGAATAACAAAATACTTTGCTGTACATTAGGTTACTCAATTGCATTCCTCTTGAGCCGAATCTTCTGATTGTATGTATGATTTCGGAGGAAACTTCTGGTAAAGTGAAGGTGATCGGAATTGACTAGATACTCCAAAATTGAACTTCTGACTAACTTTTTTAATCCTTTAGAAAGCCGGGAAGGGTAATGTTCGGGGATGTGTTTTGAAAAAGCTTGCTTTGTGAGGCCAATATAACCTGCTCCATATTAGCAAGCAAAGTGATAGACATGCATTGGTTTGGCTCACAGTGAGAGCTTATCATTCACACAACTACGAATCATAGGACCACTAGAAAGGATAATACAAAGTCAAACCGATTATAATGTTTTTCTCAGAGATCTTGAAAGTCTGTTTTTCAGAATTTCTGCTTCAGTATGTCCTTTAAACTGAATGTCCATGATGAGTCTTGTCTGGTGCAGTGAACACTTTCACGTTGTTGTTCTGGATTCAGAGATTTTTTGATAGATCTAGGTGGATATTCATTGTTAATCAGTACCTGGCGTAGTTTATCACGTTCGATATCAATTGCATTCTTGGACTCCGAAACGAAAAATATATCGAAAATCGACTGAATTTACAAATATAAACTACTGGATGATGATTCAGTAGTCTAATGATATCGTGAACATTATAAAACTTGAAGGTCATTCAGTTCGATAATATGTATGTCTATAATTGTTGTGAAAGCTCAGCAAACTAGTAATAAACAACTGTCGAACGCTTACTTGCTTTCAGAGATTCTCGAACTAACATCGGTTCGCAATTAAAACAATCAGGATAACCGTTTTCGAATACGAAATCTGATAGAAAAAAATTCTGAATGCATGTATGTATGCGTATGTATGGGGAAAAAAATTGTTCGCGATACTTGATTGCTTGATATACACAGTAACCCAATAGATCGACCGTTAAATACAGTAAACATGTATAGACCAGGGAAAGTTTATTAACTCGACAGAGAGCAGTCACCGAATGGATTCAAAAGTGGGACGGATGTAACAAGACAGTTGTTTATATTTGTTGTAGCTTCACACGTCTGTCTCTAACCGTCGAATTATCACAAGACTGGACATATATGATAGTATGAGTGTTCTGTTAAGCGGATAAGTGAATAAGCACTGTGGCTAATACCCAATGATTAATCTGTTGTACACATATCTCAGTTCTACTAAAATTCAGTCTCAGCTCGAACAGTTCAGTGATGGCGCCTCCAACTGTGAACCTTGGTGACGAGAGCTCAGGTCTGACACGCAGTATCAGTTCCCTCAAGACTACAGGTCCATCCTTCTGACAAAAGTTAAACAGCACGAGACCTGGGTACACGGTTTCCTGTTGACTACACCAAACCACCACCTTACATTAGAACATGATACACGCGATATCGAATCACGTAAACTAGTGGCCACACTCCAGCTCGATTGATACGATTCGGTCAGTACTAAGAAGAATTCACAAGCATGACGTTGGTCACTACTCAGTGATCAATCAATCGAAAATATCACCGTCAATGTTTTGACCTTAAGGTTATTATGCTTGTACAGAAGTGCATAAACACAATCCCATTACTATTAACGTTTCCAGGTAAAGTTACACTTCCCATCAATGTTATCTTAAGAAGATTGTGACTAATTATGAAGATCTTTTAGCATCCAAAAATTTAGTGTTTCTTATTTACGATTACGACCGAAGTTCTTAAAAGACAACCAACTCTCAGAAAGTCACTACATTATTACGTGAATTTGTTTAATAATATTACACTGTCAGAGGTTGTATTTAAGTTTTCGATTTACATAAATTAACTTTCTGAACAGTTATATTTTCCGCTTGTATACTCGTTTGTCATAGTAATGAAAATAAATTACGAACTAGAGAAAATTTCACTCGAAATCTAGGCACAACTAGCACTCGAAGTACTGACCTCAAAAAATAAAATCATGTTTTTTATTTACAACACCATTATGTAGACTGCCACCAGTTAAACAGAAGATGCAGTGCAATTTTCAGGTCCCCCAAATGGCCTGGTACGACCAAGGGTGGGAAGAGTCCGCTCTCCCTCTCGAAATGTTCTCACATGCCGATGTGTATACAGTAACTTCCAAGGAAGTCCTACTCACCGCCTTCTCGCATCAGCGGTGTTGTTTACGAAATTGAGTGGACGAAAAGTGAATGACTGTCGCTTTAATCGGGTTGATGGATACGGAGAGTTCACCTAGGGGAGTTGGAAAACCCTGATTCCAAACCAATAGTGCACATGGGATCCAGTATCCTGAAGGAACAAATGGCGCATGGACCAATCGTTGGTCACCGGCTACCATGAGACTGCATCTCCTTACGATGCTCCACTACCTTGTGGATCAGACCTTTAGGTCGAAGGCTCCGGGTGTGGCCTCCTAAGAAAACCACTTGCTTCGGTTTGGGTACCTGAGCATTATCACAGCCCACACACAAATCAAGTGACTTGTGTGGTGCATACGTATTCGGAGCCCCTTTGTACCAATATTAATGTTTTCAAATAAATAAATAAATAAATAGTTCGAGTCAATCACAAAGAAGCCTCCAGTCTAGACTTGGAATTAGTTGGTGTTTAGCAGCAAGGTATATCCACAATCTTTAAAGAGTTGATGACTGTCATGGAAACCGAATTTGTATCACCATGATAGTCATAGAAGTTATCATTGAGCTATTAGTGTCTCTATTCAACAAGTTTATCTCTAATTATAAATATCGACGTGCACCACCATGTCTGTTCACTTAAAATGGTGACCACATCGCAATTGAATCTATTTACACTGAGCAAACGCGATATTGAGATTTCTTTACATAATACGCAAAAAATATATTGCACCTGCCCACTCAAAATAGAATGCGCAACACAAAATAGAGAGAGGACATCGTAAAAAAGGAAAATGTATAATAGAAGATAAATATCAGTTAGATATATTGTAGTGAACGAGAACACGAGCGGGGACAATCGAATGTATTTGAACACAATATCTTAGTTAAATCTGAGAAGCATGCAGTAAATTCTTCATTTGCAAAATGTCAATCAATCGTCTCAAACTTGACTGTTCCTTCTGCCTCCAGGCATTTTACTTTCGATTGATGATACATGCTACTTATATCTATCGACATCAGTAGCATAAACCACAATATAACCAAAAAAGATTTCTTTCAGTTAAGTGATACTACACTTTTATGAACAATGTAGAAAAAATACTACGATAGAGTAACTACTGGCTCATATTTTGAACCGCACTTGACGTTTTAAAGACCCCAATCTGAGAGTCATAACAGACCGACCTAATCCAATTTGCTAACTTCAGCAAAACTAATATGGTGGTAACAGAGGATATCGAGAATCTTTCAGAGTCAACAATGATAGAATTAAGTCGCCAACATCTTTAGCTTATAAGAGCAAGGTTTTACAACCAAAACATTGGCTACTACCCAGTGATTGGTTGAATGTAAACATCAAAACGAATATTTGGTCTTCCTGGAAATCAGTAAGAGCTTATTCCTTTTTCCATCTCTCACATTCTTTAGGATAAAAACTAACTAGTCAGTCAGTCAGTCAGTAACAACGTAGAACTTCGTACGTACGTACATCAGTTCTAGTTGCCACACCATATTAGCACAGAGATGCAGTGGTCGATTCAAATCCTGTAGTGCTAGATGTAGTGAAATTATAAGCTGTAATCAGAAAAATTAGGGTTTCAAGATGTTATCATGGAGTATAATTCAGTGAAATAAATTTAGAAAGAGGAAAAAAAAGGACATGAATAGTTGAGATTAGAATTTGGGAGAACACAAAGAGTGGATGCACCTGCGCCATTGCAAACGATTTTGAGCCATGTCATTCAAAATCTCTAACCATCGGTTGCTATCATCTCCCGGTCCCCAACCAGTTAGTCTACACCTACCAACATGGCTCAGTCCTCTTGTCAGTAACTTCATGAACTTGTGACATGTTTTGGTCTGGCCGACCCTGACTTTCTTCCAATCTACTCCTATACCATTGAACATCGCACGTCCAGGCAGTCGGTTATTGGGCATACGTAATACATGTCCCAGCCATCTCAACTGATCAAGTTTCACTACGTCATCAATTGGTTTGCCATCCTTACCTAGTACCCGTTTCCTAACAACTACGTTACTCACTCGATGGTACCAGGATATACGAGCAATGTTTCGAAGATACCTATGATCAAATACTAGTAACCTACGAATATCCTCTACTCTTACCAGCCATGTTTCATTGCCATAAAGTAGGACGGAACGAACTGCTGCGCAGTAAACACGTCCTTTGGTTGATAGACGGATATCTCGCCTACGCCATAAATGACGCAAGTTGGCAAAAGCTAGTCGAGCCTTCTGTATCCGTGCTGAGATTTCGTCACACACCAGACCACAAGGGCTGATCAGACTTCCAAGATAAGTGAAGCGATCGACACGCTCAATTACTTCACTTGCTATCATTAGTTCGGGTGTCAATGCAACCCAATCCTGAAGCAACATTTTGCATTTCGAGGGAGAGAATCGCATCCCGAACATGCTTGCATTGTTGCTTAGGGTAATCATAAGACTCTGCATTTTGTCAGCGTCTTCACCAAATAGAACTATGTCATCGGCATATTCTAGGTCAGAAATTGAAACTAACTAACATTCATACCAGTCTTATTTCGTTGATTTGTGAAAAGCACAAGCACAAATATTATTTCAGACTAGAAAAAAAAAGCAATACATTAGAAATAGATAATGAATAGCATAAGAATCTAGTTATCCACACAACAACAACAACAACAAAAATATTAAAATTATTAAACTAACTTGTCTAAACTATGTATTTGATCCAATTTTTTCTTAAATACCATTTTAGGTTTAGTCAATTGTAATGGAGGTGCCATAACAACTTCATTGAATTTCACTTTATCTATATATTGATTATTGATTATTGATAAAGTAATAGAAGTGATGAATACAAACCTTGTAAATGTTCAAACCCTGTTAAACGTTTTTCAATAGTACGTAAACGTTTTTCTTTACGTTTCTCATTTAAACGTCTTTAAGATTAAAAAAAAAAAAAGAAGGAAATAATGTCAAATCAATATTGAAGTTTACTTTATAGCTTTACGTTTCTTTTTACTTTGTTTAACTTCTGTAATAGGAATAAGTTCAGTCTAAATTAATGTTATTAAAATATTGAAAATATATGTATTAATATTACTCGTTGTTTCTTGGAGAATTCCACCTTGTTTAATTCATCTTCAACTTCTTTATGAAGTCGTCCCAAATAATGAGCATCTGATTCATGTTTACCTTGTTTCAAGACAGGAACTGGATCATCTTTTTTCTTCATACCTTTAGTATCTCCAACAGCTGTATTGTAATGAAATAAATTATAGACGAAACAAATAAACATTGTATACCTGGATCAAACAGAGTTTTCCATTTACCATCTTTCATAAGTAACATTTGTTTAAAACTAGCTGGAACATAATGTTCATCATTAAATTTAGGTGGACGATTGTATATTTCTGATGAATAGACAATTAACAATTGCACATATATATAGAGAGAGTAGGATTGCAATGAAATACAAAGAAAGAAAAAAAGTAGAACATACCTAAATTTGAATTATTTGCGCCAATATTTTTTAATTTTTTATGCTTTTTTGTTTTTAATCGACGAGTATATTGAACAGGAGTTTTACTGTTCACACGTGATTGAACCACTTCTTTGTACCGTTTACGACGACTAGAATGCTGGCGAACTTAAAGATTTAGAAAGAGTAAATGAATCAATCAATTGTAATTACAAATTAATACCTTTATTTTTACTCATTTTTCTTTTTTCAATTTCACACACAATTCACAGATACTTCATTATTAATTCAAGCAAGAAACGTCTGCAACTATCATTTGAAAAAAGATCACTATTTAATCAATGAATCCTACATTTTCAAATTAACCAATGGTTAAAAAAGAACACAGAATAAATTCCCACCAATCAAAGTTGCTAATACACTTCCAATCAATAAAGTGTAAAATAAAAAGATGAAGAACAATTGAGTGAAAGATAGAATGTAAAATATCTAAATCTAAACAGAAAAAAGAGACCTAGGGGAAAACATTTCGTTGATTTATTTATTTTAACACACAGATATTGGTACAAGGAGGCACCAAATACATATGCGCCACACAGATCTCATTTGATATGTGTGAGAGCCTAAACCGAAGCAGGTGGTTTTCTTAGGGGGCCACACCCGGAGACTTCGACCTGAAGTTCTGATCCACAAGGCAGTGGAGCATCATAGGAAGATGCAATTTTATGGTAGCCGGTGACCAACGATTGGTTCTGTTGGGATATTCAGAAAAATATCCCAACAATTATCCTATTAAGTCTAATGGTGTCCTTGGACTTTAAGTGGGCATTTCCTATTGGTCAATGTTTATTTCACTTGTCAAATATTGCACAAGTGTTGTTTTCTATTTTATGGTACGATGTGGTCTGTTTGATTGGTATATAAACAGAGTATGTCTGAAATATGATTCATATCGCTGAGGCTGAGACTTGCGTTTTGGACTCAACTAGCTGGGCTAGACAGAGAAGCGAGACCAAACAGAACTCTAGGCCGTTCTTGCGTGTCTTACGCGTCTTTGTAATCGATCGGTAATTCGCTAACCTCCAATCAGCAGCGTCTCACGATACAACAGGTCCATACGCCATTTGTTCATTTAGGATACTGGAGCCCATGTGCACCATTAGTTTGCAATCAGGGTTTTCCAACTATTTAAACTCGAAACTTATGAGCAGATAGAGGACGGATACATCTATGCAATTGCTGTAGATTTTCAGCTATGTCCCCTAAGGTCTTCAATTATAGACGACAATAATCTTAAGAGCTTCATTTAGGTAGTTAATACAACCCAACATGGCGAAGTTCAACCTAACAAATCAAGGGCATATCCGATCACCTTTAGTCCAAGTTTACTCATATGCTAGTCAGATCATAACGTCAAAGTAAATGGTGGCTGCTCATCAGTAATATGTTTCAAACCATATCAATGAAGGTTCACAGCTTAGCATAGCTAAATGAAAAGCTGTACATAGTCTCAGCATTACTTATTCGATTATTCTTACTTTTAAAAAGACATACAGAGTTGAACTAAAGGTTCGGTATGAAATAGTAAGTCACTGAATATTACGTAAATAACTCCCTTTGGTTTTCGTCCAAAGCAAAAGTTACTGATTAGTTTTTGAAGCATAATGACTCCGAATCAATAACAAGTAGAACCAGACTAGAGGGATCACCGTGGAGCTGGTCATTTAAAGGTATTAATTTGGTGTCAAAAGTCCAACCAGTTACTATTTAGGGTGGTCTATTAACATATTTAGTGCCCACAATGAATTCGATCCAAAACTTGTAAACAGTTATTGAATTGTACTAAGTCTATCAGTAACTCCAGAATAATGACTTTTATGTGTATATTATAAATAACACTATTTGGATTAAATCTGGATTCGTTGTTTCGCTAACTTCAGTATGAAGTGTAGTTTCTCCAAGTAGAGTTAGAAGTGCATTTAAGTCAATCGGTTGTAAATCCATTACAGTGATTATAAATTATGAATGACTATTTGTCACTGAATAAAAACAGTGAAAAAGTATTAAGAATTCGTAAATTAATGTAGTGAAAATATTTTGAAAGTTGACTTTGTATCCACCTTCACTTAATCTTGAAATCTATATAGATTTTCATCCTCAGAGGTTATATTCCGGAATTCCACACCCATAACAGGATCGACCATATTTGCATCACTAAAAAAACTCAGGTCAATGGAAGACGTGAGAACCAGGAGAGAAGCTGACAGCTTCAGATCACCACCTGGTTGTGGCTAAGATGAAAATGAAGCTAAACAAGCAACGGAAAACTGGGGAAACAATATTACAAAGGTTCAATACAGTTTTCCTTCAACATACTGGCAAACTCAACGAATTCAAGATGACTCTCAACAACAGCATCTACGGAAAGAAGAAACTACTGTGGATGGCAACTGGAAGGGGATCAAAGAAGCACTTACTTTGAAGTATCAGAAGGTTCTGGGCCGCAATAAGCATCATCATAAGGAATGCATCTCTATCGAAACCATAGACAAGAAAGGAGGAACAAAAAGCCCGATCGAAGCTGCTACCTTGACGCGGTGGTCGGGCTTGCCTATCGTGATGACCCAACCGAGCTATATTGGCTGGAACATATGTTCCTGCAGGTTCTACCATGCCAGGCAGGTCGATTGGTGAACGGTAAGACTAAAAGCAGCAACTCAAGGTCTGAGGGCGAAGTCGTACTGCTGACTGTAGAGGGGTGTGACAGCAGTAAGGTGTTTCCCTCGGACATCCAGCATGACAGCGATGCTGCCTTCCCACAAGGAGGGGTGGGGTTAGAAAAGGTCGACCCTAAAAATGTCACACCTCACCTTACCTCACGGATTTCCGTCTCCGGCGGTAAGGCCCTTTGAAGAACGGAGCTAACACGTCAAAAATCTTCCACAAAAAGGCCGTGCGCGACCGGCCTCAAGCAGTTGTCCCTTGGGCTCTGCGGTCACGCTCCCAGGTCGTCAAGACCAACACTAATCCAATTTCCTTTTCAGGTTCCTCAAGAAATACCCTTCCACGGTGTGGGCAGCCGGGAAGTGATATCAGCCCTCATACCCGTAACAGCACAAGAGACCAAGGTGGTCACATTCAAATCTTTCCTACACCTTCTAATACCTCTCTTATCTCCCCGACTAACCCTCCCCACGTCTCTTTATCACCTCGCACCGCTAGGGCAAACGATTCGAGTACGTGGAACGCTATTCCTGGTCTCCTGAAACCACGCTCTAAACTACACGTAGGAGCTTTTAACGTACGAACACTTCGCCAAATAGGACAGCAGGCTTCATTAGCTAGGACTTTAGAATCTCGCGCCATCGATGTGTGCTGCGTCTCCGAAACGCGCATACAGGATCCAAGTAGCGTCATTCATTTGACCTCACCATGCCAAAATAAAGAACCGACTCGATTTACGCTTCGTGTATCTGGGAGCCCTGATTCTGCTTCCCGCGGCCTTGCCGGCGTAGGTATAGCATTGAGTCCTAGGGCAGAACTAGCTCTCTTAGAGTGGATCCCAGTAGACAGTCGTTTGTGCGCTGTCCGACTGAACGGAACAGTAAGAATCCGGAAAGATAGGGACACTCGTCGTTGCCTCTTCGTCGTCTCTGCCTATTCTCCCACTGACTGCAGCTCAGATGATGTAAAAGATGAGTTTTACAGAAAGCTTTCGGACCTTCTCCGAAAAGCTAAGCGCTCGGATGTAGTAATTGTGGCCGGTGACTTTAATGCTCAAGTAGGTAAACTAAGCGATAGGGAGAGACACCTGGGTGGATCTTACGGTGTCGTGGCTCAAAGAACAGATAATGGCGACCGTCTGTTGCAGCTATGCTCAGATAACCGCCTGTTCCTTGCAAATACTAACTTTAAACATAAGGAAAAACATCTTTTAACATGGAGACCCCCTAATTCGTCCCAACGTTGGACCCAAATAGATCACATCGCTATCAGCCACCGATGGAGGGGCTCGATAGAAGACTGTCGCTCATTCTGGAGCACATGCCTAGATTCAGATCATGCTCTAGTGCGAGCGCGTATTTGCTTGCGTCTAACTGGACGTAGGAAAGACACTGCAAGAAAACCTCTTAGGGGCCTACTTAATGATAGTCAAGCTAAGAGTATATTTCAGGAACAACTAGGAAAACAGTTAGGCAGCCATGTATGTGATGCCCACCCCGATGCAGCATGGAATGATATCCGAAAAGCTGTGGAAACAGCAGTGATATCTGCTAGTAAGGTAAACCAGAAGGTTAGGGAGCAACACTGGATCTCAGCAGCATCTATCTCACTGATAGATGCTCGGAAACTCATTCCACCTGGCTCTGAACATAATGAAGAGCGGAGTCAGCTTAAGCGCAAGCTGACCAGAAGCCTACGCAACGATCGCGAACAGTGGTGGGTAGCGAAAGCAAGACAGATGGAAAAGGCAGCGGCAATAGGTAATAGCAGACAATTGTTCAGACTCGTTAAGGAAACCGGAATTAGGAACCCGACCGTTAGCGAAACAATCTCAGAGAAAGATGGACATATTATTCATTCTCAATCCAGGAGATTGGATCGATGGGCAGAACACTTTAGGGATCAGTTCAACTGGCCTTCAGCCACACTTCGGTTTCCCACGATCTCTAGTCAACCTGAATGGCAAGTTAATGTAGGTCCTCCGACTTTTTACGAAGTTGAAAAAGCCATAGGAAATCTGAAACGAGGGAAAGCAGCAGGCCCTGACAGGTTTACTCCTGAGATTTTTAAGGATGGTGGTCCAGTATTAGCAATGAGATTAACCGAGGTCTTAAGTAGAATTTGGGAACTGGACGTAATCCCATCTGACTGGTCTCAATCACTGATTGTGCCAGTCTATAAGAAAGGACAAAAGTCCTCTTGTGACAATCACAGAGGAATCAGTTTGACTAATATAGTGTCTAAAATATTAGCTTCAATAATACTTCGACGCCTAATCAAAGCTCGTGAAGAGCAGACTAGAGAAAATCAGGCTGGTTTTCGACCTGGACGTGGTTGTATAGATCAGATATTCACACTACGTCAGGTTCTAGAACACAGACACACATTCAGACGCCCCACAATGGTAGTATTTCTCGACCTTAAGGCGGCATTCGACTCTGTTGATCGTGAGGTTCTATGGCAGTGTTTGTCACTGAAAGGAGTACCAAAGAAGTACATTAACCTTATAAAGGCTCTCTACTCGAACACAACTGGTAGAGTGAGAGCTTATGGCGAACTGTCATCAGAATTGATTACCTCAAGTGGTGTTCGTCAGGGCTGTCCACTCTCCCCATTCTTGTTCAACTTTGTCGTGGACATACTTCTAGAGATAACACTTTCCTCATCTAGATTTCCAGGGGTTGAACTTCTACCGGGAGGTTCACTTGTTGACTTAGAATATGCTGATGACATAGTTTTATTTGGTGAAGACGCTGACAAAATGCAGAGTCTTCTGACCACTCTAAGCAACAATGCAAGCATGTTCGGGATGAGATTCTCTCCCTCGAAATGCAAAATGTTGCTTCAGGATTGGGTTACATCGACACCCGAAATAGTGATAGGGAGTGAAGTAGTTGAGTGTGTCGACCGCTTCACTTATCTTGGAAGTCTGATCAGCCCTTGTGGTCTGGTGTGTGACGAAATCTCAGCACGGATACAGAAGGCTCGACTAGCTTTTGCCAACTTGCGTCATTTATGGCGTAGGCGAGATATCCGTCTATCAACCAAAGGACGTGTTTACTGTGCAGCAGTTCGTTCCGTCCTACTTTATGGCAGTGAAACATGGCCGGTAAGAGTAGAGGATATCCGTAGGCTACTAGTATTTGATCATAGGTGTCTTCGAAACATTGCTCGTATATCATGGGACCATCGATTAAGTAACACAGTTGTTAGAAAACGGGTACTAGGTAAGGATGGCAAATCAATTGATGACGTAGTGAAACTTCATCAGTTGAGATGGCTGGGACACGTGTTACGTATGCCCAACGACCGACTGCCTCGACGTGCTATGTTCAGTGGTATAGGAGTAGGTTGGAAGAAAGCTAGGGGCGGCCAAACCAAAACATGGCACAAGTCCATGAAGTCACTGACAAGTGAACTGAGTCATGTTGGTAGGTGTAGACTGCCTGGTTGGGGACCGCGAGATGATAGCAACCGATGGTTAGAGACCCTGAATGACATGGCTCAAAATCGTTTGCAATGGCGCAGGTGCATCCACTCTCTGTGTTCTCTCAAATTCTAATCTTCTGAATTCTTCATGTCCCTTTTTTCCTCTTTCCAAATTTATTTCACTGGATTATACTCTATAAATAACATCTCCAAACCCTAATCTTCCCGATTACTGCTTATACTCTTGCTACCTCTACCACTATGGGATTTGAATGGACAACTGCATCTCTGTGCTAATGTGGTGTGGCAACTCGAACTGATGTACGTACGTACGAAGTTCTACGTTGATACTGACTGACTGACTGACTGAGGAACAAAAAGACAGCAATTAACAACAGCCGGACAAGAGCAGAGAAAGTCGAGGCACAAGCTGAATACACAGAAGCAAACAAGCGAGTGAAGAAGAGCAACATAACCGACAAGCAGAAATACGTGGAAGAGCTAGACAGTGGAAAAATCTTCAAGAGAAGGAAATATGAGACAGCTATATGACAGAACGAGGAAACTAGCAGGGAAATGTGGTGAATCAGAGAAACCGGTCAAGGACAAGGCAAGACAATCATCGAGGTTCAACAAAGGAACAGATGGGTAGAACACTTCGAGGAACTCTTGAATAGACCAGCTTCACTTGATCCACCAGACATTGAAGTAGCACCTACAGACCTTCCTATAGATGTCACTTCACCAACGATCGCCACTATACATCAACTTCCTTCACTAGAAAGCATTTGATAGTGTGGATAGAAGGACTTTGTGGAACCTTCACCGACGCTGGTGTGCCCGAGGAAATTGTCAACATCATCAGGAATACAATACGGAGAACACCAACTCGATCACATTCGATGGAGAAGTTCTGGAAGATGTGGAATCTTTCACGTACATGGGAAGCATCATTGATGAACGAGGATCCGATGAAGACGTAAACGCGAGGATTGGCAAAGTGAGGGCAGCGTTCCTACGGTTGAAAAGCATATGGAACTCAAATAAACTGTCAACCAACATCAGAGTCAGAATCTTCAATACAAACGTCAAGAATGTTCTATTGTAAGCAGCTCAAACTTGGACAACTAATACAATCACCATCAGGAAGATTCAAGTATTAATAAGCGATTGTCTACGTAAGATCCTGAATGTCCGTCGACCACATACCATTCGCAACGGCGTACTGTGGGAGAGAACAAACCGATTTTCATTCTAAGAGGAAATTAGGAAAAGACGTTGGAAGTGGATAGGAAATACATTGTGGAAACCAAACTGCATCATGAGGCAAGTGCTAACTTGGAGTCCATAAGGGAAACGGAGAAGAGGGAGACCAAAGAACACATTGCGTCGGGGATAGGACGCACACAACTAAAGAATGAATACCAGCCAAAACAACTGGAAAGGATGTCCCAGGATACAAATCCATGGAGAATGCTGGTGGTCGGCCCATGCTCCTTCATGAAAGAGGAACAGGCGTAAGTAACAGGATACTGACAGTTTAAACAGATAACTTAATTTTAAGGTACCTATCGCCTTCACCATGAAATGCGACTTGTTACTTAGGAACTTACACAAGCTTCTTGTGATTGGAATCTGAGTCAGCACCGGTCACAATTAAATATACCTGAAGCCAGTAAATATAAATGATGTAGAAATAGGGAAAAAATCTCATTGTTACGGGGGGACAAGTGAACCCGGACCACTGTGCATAGACCAAGTAAGTATCAAACAGAGTTGATTGTCTATAATACCGACTATAATACCACCTATCTTACTCTGTTAAACAAGGCGCCAAAGCTAAAAAATGTGATTGTCACAGAAAACTCCCAGGCCATTGACATTTCAGGAATGTGGACAGCACCGGAAATAAATGATAGCGAAATTTAAGGGGTTGGTTTTTTCTGTTTTGTAGGACACACCAAACCGTGAAGGTAGCGTCACCCTGCACCTGAAGATCTTAAACGTACAAGCTGTAGAAACAGTAATACACAGCTCAGAAACATGTGAACTGGTATGTCGTGAGATGAAATGTATGGAACAAGACATGGAACATGCTGCAGCATGCTGAAGCTCGTAATGTAAATGGAATTATCTCCTCCTTAATAAACTACAATCCTGGTTAAACAAATGGAGAAGTCTTAGAGCGGAAGACTTCAATGCATCCCCTATCAAATGGTTTAACTTAGAGGCAGAATCATCAATGAAGTCGTTCGGTCACGTACCGTTGGAATTCAAACTCATAGGCTCTTGTCCAGCACACTGAAAATCCCATAGACCTGACCACCGACATACAGTTGCAGCCACGTTTAACACTGTATGGGTTCTAAGTTGAATGCAACTATGTTTACTACAGTAAACACAACCTTTGAGACTCAAACTTGAAAACTGAATTCTGGCTGGTTAACCAGATCTGTCTTGAGAATTCTGAAGAACGTACACGTTAGACACAAATTATCTCATCGATTTATCAATTCTTAAAACCTACTATTGTGAGAATTGATGTCGGCCCTTTATTCGACTCACTTAGATAAATATAAAACGAACATAAAAGCATAACATTTAAGATATAACTGTCCTTCCGTTTAATGTCCGCATCCTACAAATCTGTATCTGGAGTCAACTTAACAATAATACTGACACATTGAGCGGGTTTTTCGATATAATTTAAGGTATAAAACGTTGGATCAAACAAAAACATGTATCCGAAGCACATGAATTACCAAACACATAAGAAAGTAGCGAAACACGCCTATTTGTTGCGTTACTTTTTGACTGACGCGCTACTGGTTCAAAGTGGTTAAAATGGTTGTGGACGGAATGGAAGAAGTTTTAGCCTAACAGGCTTCCGTGTCTAGTAGCAGAGGATCACCAAACCCTCCAGGCAGGAACCTAGGTATGTTAACAATAAAAAAGGGAAAAGAAACTGGTAGATCATAGTATGATGCTGTCCTTGGTCCTTAAGAATAAGTCAAGTTGCATCTTGAAGGACTCCTGGGAAGTCGCTTGGACTAGCTCGGCCGACAGCGAATTCCAGTATTTGATAACTCTTAAGGAGTAGAAGTTATGTCTACATTCCGCTTTGCTATGTTGCGTCTCCAGTTTTTGGGTGTTACAGCTTAGGTTAGTGTTCGAACTAAGCTTAAGTAGGTGTTTAAGAGGGATCTAAAATGATTCAAAAGGTTTTGAACTGAATAAAAGAAGCTTTCACTCAACAGGCCTCCGTATCAAGAAGCGAACAAACGGTTCTGTGAGATAGGAATCAAGGTATATTAAACGACTAAAGTAATAATATCAGTAAATTATTATTAGATACTGTCCTGAGTCCCTAAGAATATCAGTTTCAGTTTCAGTTTGGTAAGGACAAAACGCTAGGCGGCCTGTGTAAGTCATGGCAAAGGTGTCCTCTCATTCGATCAAAGTTTCTTTCGAAACAGTCGACAGATGAAGATCCAATCACGTGTTGAGCTAATGAATCCCACTCGTTGATAATTCGATAGGAAAGTCGAGTCAGCTGACAGGTAATTTTTCTATGCTCGCGAAAGACAAAAAATGTGAACATGTTAGATACAAATTTATCACTAATTGATTTAGAAACTGTTATCAAGTTGCATCTGGTTCTTCGGCATGACACTGGGAATAGGTTTAGTTTAGCCAGTCGAGCATCGTACTGGAGCTTCGCTATTCCGGGAATCAGTTTAGCTTCTATTCTCTGAACCTGTTCTAGAAGCCCGCTGTCTTTTTTAGGCGGGGGCTAGCCACTTGCATAGAGTACTCGAGTTTAGGACGCACGAATACTACATACAAAGTCAAAAATGTTTGAGCGTCGACTTGAATAAAGACTATAAGTATTGACCATAGGGTTCTAAAAACTTTGGCTACTATTGCACAGCAGTGTGCAGTAGTTTTCAAGTCTTGGCTAACGATTACTCCCAAGTCATTGTGAGTCTGGACAACAGGTAGTTCAGTGTTTTTTACCGCGTATGTATCTGTACCTTGATGACCGATATGCATCACAATACACTTGGAAGTATCAACCGGCAACTGCCAAGTTTCAAACCATTCAAGCAATTCCTCCAGGTTATTTTGAAGTTTTAAGCTATCAAGTTTACTTCTTATCACCCTCCACATCTTGGCATCGTCAGCATATAACAAGGCGAATGATGATAGTAGACGAGGAAGGTCATTTACATACGTAAACAGCTACTTCCGTCAAGTTTTCTCGTAAGTTGTGTCGATTGCCTCGGCTGCTCTTTTATAGATTAGAGATTTACGATGTATTTTGGTCTCTATATAAATTTGGCTCTTTTCCATGTATGAAAGAAAGGCATATCTTTCACGTGAAGAATTTGGATTTGGTGTTCGAGAATTAGGAACGATGTGTGTATCGCAGAGATATTCAATTGCATTTATCTCAGTGTAACGAATTTCCGTGATAATGACTTAAAGGTGCCAAATGTATTCGAAGATTGACAACACCTGAACCAGTAACACGTTTCGTATTCGAAGTTCGCCAATCCAGCCAAATCAGAAGAGAAAAGGCGAGTCCATTAAAACTAATGAGGTCAGAATCAAAAATCAAAGACTTACAGAGCTATTGATTTTAGGGATTTACTTTCCACTACAAAGTCACAGGTAAACACTTAGAACACTCCTGTTAGATTCCATTATCATGTCATAAGTTGTAGAATGAAGCTTTAAAAATGAATTTGTTATATTGACTGTAGAATGCCAACGCACTCAAACTATCAAAAGAGGCATTACACCGGTGGTTTGTGTTGTTGGATTTTGAAGATTTCTTTACCGCTGCAGGATTTTGCGATCTCCGAAGGCCGATGTATTGAGAGGCTTACTCATTTGTTAGATTATTTTGGATGAATACAAAGTTTGTATGCACTTCTTGTGAAATTCTGAATAGGACATCACGTTGGAATGCACTTTCGTCAAAAATACGTAGGTCAATAACTTCTCCATCTGTTGATATTCAGTATTAAAGATTTCGTCTAATCGTTGTCAGTCAGTTAAACCTCTTTGTGGGAGAATGATCTTTTCAAATTGCCCGTACAGTTTCGAGATTTTTATACCCAGTTCATTTGATGCGATATATCTTCCCACTTCATAAGGTAATACTTTGAAAACTGTGACAAACTGGTTCAATCACAAGTGTTTGCTACAGTTAGCCTCTAGATAACAATTCCAGGTTTCTGGACTATCTATGGGGATTGCAGAAGTCAAAATTCAGACAAATTTTGAAGCGTTTTGAACGTCATGAACACTGAGCATGCAAAACGGTCATGAGAAGGTATATAATCAAATCCTAAAACAAGGAACATATTAAAGAATGATTTTTGAGTATCTCCTCGTATTATGAGGGGTCACATTGAAAAGAATTCAGATACTGTGGACTTTGATAACACTTAGACTTTTTTCATACAGTTTAACCGGAGTTATTGAAGTGAAAATTGGTGTTCATTGAATAGGAAAATATACATGTGGTATAGACAAGGGTATCATGGACTGTGCCATCCAAACTCGATGCCCCCAAATGCTTTGGTATAGCCGGGAGTGTGGTGGGCCCGCTCTCCCTTTCGAAATGCTCTCACATGGCCACGCGTATATAGCATCTGCCAGGGAAGTCCTACTCATTGCCTTCTCGTGGCAGGGGTGTTATTTACGAAATCGAGAAGACGAAAAGCGAACGTCCGAAGCTTTAATCGGGTTGGTGGACATGGAGGGTCTACCTAAAATAGTTGGAAAACCTTGATTTTAAACAAATGGTGCACATGGAATCCAGTATCCTGAAGAAACTAATGGCGTATGAACCAATCGTTGGTGACCGGCTACCATGGGACTGATCTCCTTACGATGCCCCACCGCCCTGTGGATCAGACCTTTAGGTCGAAGGCTCCGGGTGTGGCCCCCTAAGAAAACCACCTGCTTCGGTTTGGGTACTTGGGCATTATCACAGCCCACACACAAATCAAGTGACTTGTGTGGTGCATATGTATTCGGTGCCCCTCTGTACCAATATCTATGTGTTAAAACAAATAAATAATAAAGAACGTCGAAGGAGATGCGTCTGCGACTAGTTCAAAAGTGACTTGATGCGGATGCTTGCCAGTTCACTTTCTGCTAGTGGCATATCAAGAAAGACAAACGTGGTTATCACTAATGTCAAAGGCATGCAAACCTACTTCAGGGGAATTGTTTATCATAACACTACATTAGTCATTCATCGAGTATGAAATTTTCAACGAAGTAAATTCAACATCATAAGCAGGTTAGAGTCAGACAAAAGTGTGAGTCTCTGAAATGGCTCGATTTCAGGAAATGTTTCAGTCCTACATTAAAAATCCTTGAGTGTCCACCATGAGGAAGAACAGAGTATTTTGAAATGGTTGTTAATTTTGACCATCATTCTAAAATTTTGTGGTCAGAACATTTCATGTAACAGGTAGCACATAGTAAAAATGGACGGTATGTATGAATGTTTAAGTTACTGAAAGCTCTTCAGTACTTGTGAGACGAGGATTTTTTTATTCTTAATCTTTCATTTCATAAAGAAAAATTAACTACTGAACGTTCCACGCCAAATGAAATATCGTAGGAATTCATTTTTCGGAAGATCACTTATATCTGTTTGACATCAGTACTATTTACTCAAATGATTTGTTAATCTACCATTTTTGTAGTATACTTTCACTATCACAGCGTTACAGTAAGTTGCTGTCCATCACATCTATTTTAAATCTGATTTTTAGTAACTAATATTGTACTCCGAATTTTTCAGCTGGTTCGTTCTTTGAGTGCATACATGAAAAAATTAAGTCCTTGTCTTAGCTGATGGTTTAAGTTGAATGATATTTTAATGTATTTGTTTAAATAAATTCCTAATGTTGTTCTTTATCAGAAACTGATTTCAGTTTAATGATAAGTAAAATGCAAAAAGTACCGGTTAGCTGTTTCGTCTCAAAGTATGAGAGAAATATCCACTGGAGAAATGGATAACTTTTGAACTATATCATGAGTTAATGAATGTTAAAAATGTAGACAATGAGATATTGATTCAGTTGTCTATAGGTCACTGGCTTTCCATGATGCCTAAGGGCCCTAAGATCGAATTCTTAAGGGTCACTGTTAATTAGTTTCATTCGGAAAAACGGATATCCTCTGCTTCCTGGTTTTTACTAGTTGTCTATCTATCGGCAGTCAGTGATAAAGATCTATGATTTTGACAATGTTCATTACTCAATATTATGAAACTTTACAATAACCTTCATTTGACACACCCAATGAATGAATATTTATTTCATGAAGGAAATCAATAATTTCATTGACAACAAATTAACTTAAACTACAATAAAATTAAAAACTAATTGTGTTTCTTCTTTTTAATTTTATTAGAAACTCATTCAATAATAACAATTTGTAATATTCTACAGGAAGTTGAAATCATTTTTAAAGGTAGGTTTTTTTACTAAATGACATTCAATTCCAGGAAGCTGTTTCTTCTAGTCATATTGAACTAATAGAGAATAGGATTGTTATGATTAACATATGTTGCTAGCTTGTGTAGATATGTGCGTTAGACAATGTAATCAAGTAATGATTATATATGAAATGGGATATCTGTAGTAACCTACTTTTATCAAGAGAACGCGATTGGTTTAATGGAAACAATTATTATTATAACCAATTGTACCAGTGATTGTTTTACTGTACTTGTTTGTTTAACTGTACTAAAGACATCCATTATTCTTCCATTCTTCCCTCCGTTGGTTGTGACCTTGCACGAA